CTTGAATGGCAAAGTGGTGAAATGTCACTTCTGAGATCAGGCTTTAAAAACTTGACTTGTGTTTTGCTATCACTTCCTCTTGTGCCTTTTTTTAAAAAAAAATTTATTTATTTTACTTTAGGTGCATAGTATATCTGCCATTTCTCTCCATGTTATCCCTCCACACCCTCCCCTCTCTCCCCACCCCCCACTGTCTCCCCTACCCCCCCAACTGCCCCCAGTGTGTGATGTTCCTCTCCCTGAGTCCATGTCTTCCCATTGTTCAATACCCACCTATAAGTGAGAACATACGGTGTTTGGCTTTCTGTACTCGTGTCAGTTTGCTGAGAATGATGGTTTCCAGATTCATCCAAGTCCCTACAAAGGACACGAACTCATCATTTTTTACGGCTGTGTAGTATTCCATGGTGTCTTTTTGTATTGCTTGCTTTGATCTAGCAAGTTGCTATGTTGGAGAGGCCCATGTGGCAAAGAACAGAGAGTGGCCTCTGGCCAACAATCCACAAGGTACTGAGGCTATCAGACCAGTAGTCCACGAGGAATTGAATTCTGTCAACAACCATGTGAATGAACTTGGAAGTGGATCCCTACCCTGTTGAGCCCTGAGATGACTATAGCCCCAGCTGTTGATGGCAACCTTGGAGGGACACCACAGAAGAGGATCCAGCTAAGCCACACCTGGATTCTTGTCCTACACAAAGTGTGTGAAATAATAAATTATGTTTTAAGCCACGACGTTTTGGGAGAATTTATTATGTAGGAATAGATAACTCACCTTGGCATGTTTGAAGAACAAAAATTGAACCAGTTTGGCTGGAATGAGATAAGCGAGTAGGAAGTGAAGTTAGAAAGGTAATGTTAGGCTACCTAGGGCCTTATAGGTCATTACACAATTTTTAGTTTTTTGGAATAAATTGGATAGCCAATGGAGAATTTTGAGTAGAATGACATGCTGTAACTTAGGATTTACATGTTCTCTCACAAAACTCTGTTTAGAAAAGTTCTAGGATAGTGGTGGGGATAAGATTGGAACAGGGAAAACAGGCTAATGTAATAAGAAGATGAGAGAATGGTGTTGGGTGAGTGGTAACAGTGAAAGAAATAAATGATTCCATTCTGGAAATATTTTTACGGTAAGGCTGACAGAATTTACTGACAGATTGGGTATAGTATATAAACAAAAGGGATATAGGCTTTGAGAAAAATGACTAAGGTTTTTGATTATTTGCTGAGATGGGGACTGCAGGAAGAGCAAGTTTTCAGGGAGAAGTATTTAGAAGCACAGTTTTGTATGTTATGTTTGAGATGCTTTTTAGACATCCAAGTGGAATTATTAAGTAAAGAGTTCAATATATGAGTATGGTGGTCTGGGGAGAGGTCTGGGCTGAGGAAATAAATATGTGGATTGGCAAACTATAGAAGGTATGTAAAGCCGTAAGATTGGATGATGATACCAAGGGAGGAAGGATAGATAAAAAGTAGAATAAGAGGCCAGGTGCAGAGGCTCATGCCTCTAATCCCAGCATTTTAGGAGGTTGAGACTGAAGGCTCTTTTGAGCCTAGGAATTTGAGACGAGCTTGAGCAAATGGTGAAACCCCATCTCTACAAAAAATTTAAAAAATTAGCCAGGTGTGGTGGCATGCACCTGCAGTCCCAGCTATTGGGAAGTTGAGGCAGGAGGATCGCTTTAGCCCAAGAATTTGAGGCTGAAGTGAGCTATGCTTGTACCATTACATTCCAGACTGGGCAAGAATCTGAGACCCCTTCTCTTAAAAAAAAAAAAAAAAAAAAAAGAAAAGAAAAAGAAAATAGGATAAGAAACTCAGCCCTGGAGCCTATCAGTATTAATCTACCAGGAAAAATAGTAGGAAACTGTAAAGGAGGTTGAGAAGTTATTTAAGGAGAAAAGCCAGCAGAGTGTGGTACCTTAAAAATCAAAAAAGCTTTTCAAAAGAAGGTGGTCAATTGTTTACAAGTAGGATGGCAGTTGAGAAATGACCATTGGATTTAGAAATATGAAGGTCACTTGGGACCTTGATAAGAGTAATTTCAGAGAGAACAGAAGTATTGGAACAACTCTTTTGAGGAGTTACACTGTAAAGAGGAAGAGAAATGCTGCAATATCTGGACAGGGATGTGGCATCAAGAGTCAGTCATTTTTCAAGCACAGGAGAACTTAAAGTTTGTTTGTGTTCTGATGGGACAGATCTAGTAGAAATGGAAATATTGATGATGCAGCAAAGATTTGTTGAATTGCTTGGGAAATGAGATGGGATCTAGTGCACAAAAGTAGGGGTTACCCTAAGATAATAGTTTAGGCAGTTCATCTATAGAAATAGGATTAGGGCCGGGGGTGGTAGCTCACACCTGTAATCCCAGCACTTTGGGAGGCCAAGGCGGGCTGATCACCTGAGATTGGGAGTTTGAGACCAGCCCGACCAACATGGAGAAACCCCATCTCCACTAAAAATAAAAAAAAAAAAAAGAATTAGCCGAGTGTGGTGGTGCACGCCTGTAATCCCCACTACTTGGGAGGCTGAGGCAGGAGAATGGCTTGAACCCAGGAGGCAGAGGTTGTGGTGAGCCAAGATTGTGCCATTGCACTCCAGCCTGGGCGACAGAGCAAAACTCCGTCTCAAAAAAACAAAACAAAACCAAAAATCCAAACAAAAAAAGGAGTATATGGGTACACGTGCTTGTGGATGAGTGGTGGTATGAACTTTGAATGTTCTTATCTACTAATTTTTTTTTTTCAGGGCAATAGAAAGCCAGGCCATCAACTGAGAGTGAGGATCAGGGAATTATGGAGAGAGTGCTGAAAATTTGAGGAGAGAGGAAAAAATTAGGAGACAGCATTAATAGACTTGGAAAAATAATAGATTTCCTGGGTCACATTAGGAGCTAGCTTGAGTTTTTGTAATGAATTCAAAGTCAAATCTCTAGCATGATTGTGTATTTCCTCTTCATCATGCTCAGCTGCATAGGTGCTGGTATGGAGCTGACAGGGAGTTGGCGTTAACCAAGTTGTAGTTTGCCAAGAGAGTGAGCAAAGTGAGAGAGGGTAAAAGGAATGCATGCAAAGGACTGGTTGTATTGATTTGCCATGGCATATAAGTTAGACAAGAAGCGATGATAATACTTGAGAACAGTGAGGGACATTGAAAATGTGGCTTAAGTTGGATCCATGAATTCTGAGGTGACGATGAGTCAGAAGAATTTTAGAGCTAGGATTTTAGAGTTAATACTTGACATTGTGCAACATTTATTGAAAAGCAACATGGTGATCCTTTTATAGTTTAGCCTTAAAAATTGGAATTGCCCTGGTGTTCTATGATCTTAAACTGGCCTCCAGAATTTTAAGAGTGAATGCCTGACTTGGCTGTAGAAACTTGCACATCAGTGACGTTCTGCACTTGTATTTCATTAAATATTTAACATCTCAAAAGCCTGACTTTTTCTTTTTTTCTTTCCAAGATGGCTTGTGGTCTGTGCTTTAATCTATTTCCTAGGGAGGCTTTTTTTTTTCTTACTTGCTTTTATGCAAAGAAGACTGTTGTTTATTTTAACATTTAATATGGCATATTAAAAGAGAAGATCTTGTTTTGGAGTATTTGTAAGCTAACAATTTAAAACTATCGAATGCTTTCATGATAAAATTCTCCTTTTTCTCTACACAATATAGATAATAGATATTTTATGATGTCAAACATTTACTCTAGTACCCCAGCTCAAATTACTTTTGTCCATTATCCATAAGCTTATAAATATCTGTATCAGTGGGAAGATAAACTTACATTTATGTAAAACTTGATGGAACGAAACAAAATTACATGATACAACAATTTTTATAGGGCCACTAGATGGCTCTGTTACCCTGTTATTTCTGTATATGTTTAAACCCCTTTGAATTTGTCACCTTGTTTAGGTATGTGTTTAATCCCTTTTGAATTAAATACATTTGTTCATTGTGCATGAATGTATTAATGTATATGTGGATAATAACATGAAAATGGCAGCATATCTAGTAGCTCTAAAAGCGTATCATCTGGACTTCAGTTTTATATAATGAATATCTACAGTGAATATTGAAAACTTCAGGTTCTACCAGAAATGAACAACCTTCTCCAGATGCATATTCTAGATATACCATTGGAATACACCGGAACTTGATACACAAGTTTTTGACATACTGAATTAATCAGTTAGATATTTAATTCATTTCCTACTGTGCAAAGTGTTTAACACATTGTCAATGTGCTATATATCAAACTAGACAATGATTCCGTTGGAGAAATAAAATATTTCTGCCTCGTCTACTAGAGGGCAAGAATGTACTCATATTCATCTCACCTACAGTAGTACTTTGGTACATGCTCAATGAAACGTTTGTTGAATGAGGAAGCTAGGATGATAAAAAATGAAAAAGAATTCTGTGAAATTATACATAATGTACAGAAGGAAAAAGGAGGGCAGGGTAGTACATTTAAGCAAAAGTGACAAACTTTTTTAAATGCAGAGTAGTATTTAAGACAAAAAAATGACTAACTCTTTTGGCCTCAGGCACATCTTACCTCTGTCTTTGCCAAAAGGTTTAAATTAAGTCTCACCCCTATGTTAGGACTATATTTCACATTTTGTGATGAAAATCATTTCAGAGGGAAAATCCTATGGCAAACTGTTTAATTCCTATTAGTTAGCATTTATAACTGGAATAGATCGTCACTGTCTCTACCAAAAAATATAAAAATTAGCCAGGCGTGGTGGTAGATGCCTGTAATCCCAGCTACTCAAGAGGCTGAGGCAAGAGAATCACTTGAACCTGGTTGGAGGAGGTTGCAGTGAGCAGAGATTGTGCCCCTGCACTCCAGCCTGGGTAACTGAGTAAGACTGCATCTCAAAATAAAAGAATAAATGAAATAAAAAAGTAAAATAAAAGACTTCAGATGCTGTATAAGAATACTAGTTTGGCTTGCTGAAAAGCCGCAAAGGCCGTCAGGACCCCACGCACCTGAGACTTTTACCTTTACCCAAGAAAGGAATAAAAGAGGTCAGATGATGACAACTGTGTCCTCAACAGCCAGGCCTCAGGAATCAGTGGCTTTTGAGGACGTGGCTGTATACTTCACTAAGAAGGAATGGGCCATCATGGTGCCTGACCAGAGGGCCTTGTATTGTGTGATGCTGGAAAACTGTGATGCTGTGGCCCTTGTAGCAGTGCCACCCACTTCCAGACTAGCTCTGGTCTCTCATCTGGAGCAAGGTGAAGAGCCCTGTTTCACCCAACCACAGGGAGTCCTAAGCAGGAGGGGCTGGAGAGCAGGGTTTATAGGATACTTGGAACTGAGAAGATATACTTACTTAGCTGAAGCAATGTTGGGTATAATAAAATCAAAAATTCTTCAAAATCATCAATGATGGGAAGACAGGCGAAAGAGTTTAAATTCTTGACATTTAAATACCCGTTTTCCAAGTAAGCAGTTGATGTAAGAGCCACCTTAAATGATGTCAAATCCACATTTCCTTTTTGTAGATTTAATGTGTGTTTCATTGATTAAAATAATTCATTTTGATGTACAAAAAAAAAAGAATACTCCAATTTAACTTAAATGATGAGAACATGTGGACACATAGAGGGGAACAATACATGATGGGCCTACCTGGGGGTGGAGGGAGGAAGGAGAGAGAGGATCAGGAAAATTACTATTGGGTACTAGGCTTAGTACCTGGTGAGGAAATAATCTGTACAACAAACTCCCATAAAACATGTTTACCTATGTAACAAACCTGCACATCCTGCACATGTGCCCTTGAACTTAACATAAAAATCTAAAAAAAAAAAAGGAATACTGATGCATAGTATGGCTAATACATGCTATAGATGAAACTCAGAACCATGCCACTAGGTGAAAAGAAGCCAGACACAAAAGACTACATACTGTATGATTCTATTTATATGAAATGTTCAGAAAAGACAAATTTATAGTGACAGAAAACAGATCAATGATTGGCTGGGGCTAGGTTGGGGGCAGGGCTTATCTTCAAATGGGCATGAAGAACCCCATCTATCAACCTTCATCAGAGATCTTCTGACATCAGATCGCCACGATGGCTGTACAATCCTATTAATGGCTCAGCAGTTATGGGATGTACGCTTCATCTGTTGAGTTTTATAGTATCTAATCATACATCCTCAAAAAGTCTATTTAAAAAGATGTAAAAGAATAGATTAATTCTTGCCTTCCTGGGACAGTGTTCAAGAAGCCTTTCCATATTCACTCTTTAAACTTTGCTCTGTCCCTGTGTATTCTACCTGTAACCTGTTTCTGGATTCCACATGCTAACACTGCATTGAGAATTGTGCCTCTTTATTCAGGAATATGATTGGCCTATACTTTTGTTTTCTGCCATCTTTGTAAAGCTTTAAACAAAAGTTAAAAATAAATGTCATATTTACACTAAA